ATCCTAAGATTCCTTCTAATTATCTTCCAATTGCTTTGACTAGCCGTCTCTGTAAGGTCTTAGAGAGGATGGTTAATGCTCATCTTGTTTTGTTCCTTGAATCAAACAACCTCCTCTCACCCACCCAGTGTGGGTTCTGTTGACATCGCTCCACCATGGACCATCTGATTTGACTTGAAACCTCAATCAGGGAAGCCTTTCTCAAGAGGGAACATCTTATTTCTGTTTTCTTTGATCTTGAGAAGACTTATAATATTTCATGGAGGTACAGCATTTTGTGGAACCTCCACTCATATGGGTTGCGTGGCCATCTACCCACTTTTATTCAAAACTTTTTACTCGACAGGCAATTCAGAGTCCATGTGGTTTCAACACTTTCCCGTTATTTCACACAGGAACTTGGAGTCCCTCAGGGCTGTGTCTTGAATGTCACACTTTTCAGTATCAAGTATCCTACTGTTGCTAATGGACTCTAAATTGACAACTTTTACATCTTATGTAGGTCATCGAACATGAGGTTTATTGAGTGGCAGCTTCAGACTGCCCTCAGTCACTTGTTGAAGTGGACCACAGCAAATGGTTTTTACCTTTTCTTTTTCCAAAACCGTTTGCATGCATTTTTGCCACCAATGGGTTCTACACCTTGATCTCCATCTTGGTGATGTTGTTCTTCCCATGATCCCTGAGGCAAAATTCTTAGGGCTTATCTTTGACCCTAAGCTTACTTTCATTCCTCACATAAAGCAGCTATGTGTCAAGTGTACAAGGGCACTGAACATCCTCTGTGTTTTCTCTTACACCTCTTAGGAAGTAGATCGATGTTCTATGCTCAAGATCTGTTGTGCCCTTATTAGATTCAAACTGGTCTATGGTTCTGCCAGGATCTCAGCCTTGAAGGTGCCAAACACCATTCACCATCTGGGGCTTTGGCTCTGCACAGGAGCTTTCCACATTTCTCCAGTCCAGAGTTTGTACACAGTTCCACGAACCTCTTCTTTACCTCCACCATTTGCAACTTCCACTACAGTATGCTACCTAGCCTCGATCCTTACCACAGCATCCCACCTGGGATTGTCTCCTTCTTCCTCATTGGGCTGTGCTCTTGCAGAACAGAGGGTCTGCAATTCCTACTTTTGGCCTTCGTAACTGACTGAATTGGGTCTGGCATTGGATGATGTTGCTGTCCCCAATGATCAGCTCATTCCACCATGGCTTATTGAGGATAGCGGAGGATATGAGGAAGGCGGATACTCCCGATTGGAACTACTGTCTTGTCTTTGCTGAACATATTTCAAACTATTCAATGGTTCAAAATCAGGTGATTCTGTGGTTTGTTGTGGCTCAGTGGTTACTCACAGGATCCCCTCTACAGTTTCTATGTTCACTGCCATGTTTTATGCCATTTCTTTTTCCCTGGATCATATAGAAACTATGCAGTACAGCAATTGAATATTTTACACTGACTCTCTTAGCTCTCTACTGGCCCTGGAATCACTTAAAGTTAGTTCTCACCCTATTCTCGTTAATATTCAACAATGACTGGCCCATCCAGTTTTTCTGGATACCTGGCCACGTCAGTATTTGCAGGAATGAGCTCGCTGACATCGCAGCTAAGTCCGTCTGCTCTGGTGCCATCAGGGCTGTGCCTGTCCCATATATGGACTACAGTCCTGTATTCAAGGCATGGTTTTGCATCAGTTGGCAGTTGACTTGGGGTGAACAATATCATAACAAGCTTTTCCAGATCAAATCTTCTGTTGCTCTTTGGCCATCTTGTTTCTGTAAGGATCAGAAGAAGGAAGTTGTCTTGGCGTGGCTACGCATTGGTCACAGTTTTTTAATTCATTGTTTTCTTTTATCTGTTACTGACCCACCAATGTGTAGCCTTTGTGACACTCAAGTCACAATAGCTCACATTTTACTGTTGTGCCGTCATTACGGCCATGAGCAGTGGCACCATTTTCGACATGTACATTTTACGAGCTTACCCCTGACGTTGGACAGTGTCATTGGCAGTAGTGATGTACAGAAAACATACAAAAAGTTTCTGCATGAAAAGAAGTTGACCATGTTTTTAGCCTTTTGCAGGTTTTGGGCCTTTTTTAATTTTCTTTAAATGTTTTTACCTCATTTTCAAACTTTGTTTAGTTTTTAGCATGATTTCTTTTTACATTTTATAATCTTTTACCTTTGAAATTTTTACCAATTG